AGGATATGCTCACAAATATGAAGCCTATTATAAAACAAAAGTGGGAAATTGAGATATGTAAAATTCCAGTTTTGCTCCTAGTGATGAAAGTTTTGGTGTGCTTTTTAAGTGATATTTCCTCAGAAATAACCATTTTAAGGATCAACATTATTAAATTTAATATAATTTATTGTTATGCTTTAATAATGTATTTGTCTGTTGAGAACTCACTAGTGTGAGCTTTCTTTCTCTCATGTTTATAAGTGTGTCTGAATTTTCAGAATGGGGTCCTTTCATCTCTTACCTTTGTTAGATGCTTAATTACATTAAATGTTATGAGCTTAAGCTATACACAGCTCCATATGTGGAATAAGTGTAGAATATGTCCCTTAATATTTGTTTTGAAGTTGCAATTCAATCTATGTGAAATGTTTTAGAAGAAGGTAGCATTAAGATGGTATGATAAGATTGCACAAAATAAAATATAGTTTATATTGCTTTCTCGTAGCCAATCTGCATGACTGTTGGCGTGGGTTTAACGGGAATTAAAAGCTTTTTGTGGCTGTTACTGGTCACTTAGCTCTGAGCAAAGTCCTTTCTGAGTATTTTTATTTATTAGCATCATTTGCAAAAAGAAAAGTAGTATTTTCCATATGAATAAAGATTTAGTTTGAACTGAAACACCTTATTCCTTGACTTCTTTTTTTCCATTCAAATTTGTCATGTGAATATGTTTACATTTGCTTGGACAGGTTTGGCCACCACAATATAAGAAAGATAATTAAAATATTAGACAGTGTCCAAAGGAGGGCCACAAAGATGGGGAGGGCCTTGAGGGGAAGCTGTGTGAGGAGCAGCTGAGGGCACTCGGTCTGTTCGGGCTGGAGGAGACTGAGGGGAGAGCTCGCTGCAGTTACAGCTTCTTGTGAGGGGAGGAGGAGGGGCAGAGCCTGATCTCTTTTCTCTGTTGACAGTGACAGGACCCAAGGGAATGGCCTGAAGCTGTGTCAGGGGAGGTTTAGGTTGGGTATTAGGAAAATGTTCTTCACCCAGAGGGTGTTTGGGCACTGGAACAGGGTCCCCAGGGAAGTGGTCACAGCACCAAGGCTGACAGCTCAAGAAGGGTTTGGACAATGCCCTTGGATACGTGGTGTGATTCTTGGGAATGGTGCTGTGCAGGGACAGGAGTTGGACTCAGTAATCCTTGTGGGTCCCTTCCAACTCAGCTGATTCTGATTCTGTGACGTTACTTCCACCACTGTAGAGCATGGCCAAGGAAGTGATAGCAATGTTTGCTGAACTCTGTGAATCGTGCCATCTCAGAACTTGCAGCACCCTAGATTTAAAGCATCACACACTGCTTTTACAGTGGCAAGAATTCATTGGTTGCAACAAACTAAAAATATTTTGGTATTTTTTGGTTTAAAATATTGTGGTTTTGTTGGTATTTTTCTTTTTTTTTAACTTACTGGCTGTTGTGAAAGCTTGGGCAGAGCAGCATTCTCTCCCTGAAGATTTCCCAGCTACACGTAGAGTAGGACCTGAAATGCTTTGCGCACAATGGCCCCCAACAAGGTGACACCTGCATGGCCTGGCGTGTGACGTGAGGAGAAGCCACCGCTTCCAGTGGAGCAGCTGCAGAAGGAAGTTTATTGTCAGAATCCCATTCTTCCACTCCAGTCTGCTGGCATTGTGGTTGTCTACACAGACCAAGCAGGGAGCATTTAGGCAAGATGTTTCTTGTCATAATACGTGAAGTAACTAAAGCAGAAAATGTCATTCATACAAGTTACACTCTCAGTGAGGAGAAAAAAGACTATTGACACACCGCTGACTAGACACAGGTAGGTCAGATGCACAGCTGGGCAGGTGGAAGGAAGTGGAAGGACCTGTATTTCCAGAGCCTGAGCAAAGAACCCTGCTGAATTTTGAGCATAGGTGTTCCTATAGCCAGGTGAATTTGGTCTGGCATCTGTCTCAATTTCTGAAACTTACCAAAATGCTTTTTATTGTATGGGAATCTTGGATGACAAAACTGTAGGTTGTGTGCAATCTGAAAACGTGAACGTGCATGTTATATCGCTGTTTATTGCACATCCAAACTGTGCTGATTTGGAGGGGTTTGTTTGATTCTTTGCTCTGAGCGCCTGCTTCTTTGTTTCTGATGTGTCTGGGAAATAAAATCAGTACTGTGAAGAGGAAAAGTAATTTCCTAGAAGGCTTATCACCAGCAACAGTCGGCAAAGGTGTGTATCATTAGATACTGTCACTCTCAAAAATTTCTGGTAGCATGAGTGATTTGTACCATCTAAGACGGGGAATCAAACATATAGGCAAAAAAGCCAGTTTAGAAATCAAAAGGAGAGAATTACATTTAAGTGCCATCAGCATCATAGCAGAACGTAATGCTGCTTCTGTAGTTACAAAGAAATAAAGAGTATGAAAACAATAAAAAATAGGAATATAAATAATAGGAATTTATATGAAATATATGATAGTAAAAAATGTGTAGGGAGATGATGGTTTTTCACATGATATCTACTGACTGTTATCACTGGTAATGAAAAAAGAAATACCTACTCTGTACTTGGGAAGAAATTTTTCCTATTCTGTGTCTAGCAATTACTAAAAAACACAAGAAAGTGAGAATATTCTTTTCAAGGCCATAACAATCTGGCAGAAGCTTGGCTGGCATTTAAGTTTTTATGCTCTTGAGACCCAAATAACACTACTAGAAGCTTTATGACACATTTTGAACTGTGAATTTGCTATTGGAAAAGAAAAATGATTGTTCTTTGCATAGAAAAGTGTGCACACACAGCTGTGTTTTCTGAGATTGGTTTGTCCACTTCTGAAAATAATCATGATATTTTGCTTTCTAGTTGCTCCAGCCCCTTGTACTGAGGAGACTGAGTTTAAGTAATTTTTCAGAGAATTGGCTGGTTTCATTATTTGAGATTGTACAGTAAAACACATCAGATTTCATATAGAAATATTCCTATAATTTAGCAATGTATTTTAGCCTTTTTTATCTTGTACCTTTTTCCTTGAAACCTGCAAATGCTGAGGTCTTGACCATCTTGTTTGTCCAGGAGTCTTCGATTCCCTACAAGGTTACACTGCTAAATTCCTCTGGTATTTAAGGGATGGAGGAAACACTGGTGTGTGTTTGTGCTAGAGAATAGATGGGAGGCAAATGTATCCTGACACCAAGTACTGTACTTGGCATATTATTTTTTTCTGCTAAAGTTTTCTAATATGCAAGATGATGAATATTAATTTTTCTTTTGATTTTTTATTTTTGTGCTTGTAGTCTGTTATCTTTTCAGGAGGGGTGTCACACATGCAAAGACATCCTGATTACGTTAAGATTGGTGCTTCTCTCATGACCAGCACACCTCTTTTAGGCTGAAATGCCTTCAGTTTAGGTAGTGCCTGTAAACAGTTTATCTTCTGAACATTTTGACAGAACTTGGCAACCAACATTTGATAAGGACAAAAAAAGGAAAACAAGTCAAGCATCACTTCCCATTGGGAAGTAAACCATTGTTTGATGGGATGAAGCACAAGATTCCCAGAAGTCATCATACAGACGGAGTAAATCTGCACATAGGGTTATTTTAGACACTTAATCAAAAAGATACACGCTCTTCTTTTTCCTTTTATAAACTAACCCTGAAGTGCAGTAGCCCAGCATGGCTGGCTCAGTGCTGCCTGCCCGAGAGCAGCTGTGACCTGAGCAAACCATCGGGGCCAGGGTGAGCTGCAGCTGAGGCCATGGTGCAAGATCTGAGCTCCTGAGCTGTGCTGGATGCACTGGGCACAGGGGGAGGGTCTGTGACTAGGGAAGGAGCTGGTGTTCTGCCACTGAGGAATGAAGCACACTGTAAAGAGAAGTAAGTCCATAACATCTGGGTATGTTCCTACAGCTGTTAGTACCAATATTTATTAGGCCAGGGTTTTGGTCTTAGAGAATCAGAACTAACACACATCTAGTCTTTTTTTCCTGGTGTTTTTTTCATGGTGTTCCAGTTTAAGACCAGGACTTTTGGCTTTTCATGAGCAACTGAAAAAACCATCCACTTTGCACAGGTACAAACAGCAAGTTCTGATTGTTTGCAGCATTGGTGCTCTTCAACTTGCAGCAAACACTTCTCCAGATCTATTCCATACTACTATGCCCATAAATTAAACTTAGGTGATGAAAAATGTGGAAGGTCAGTTTAGGGAGCAGAAGAAACATAGGATTAGCAGAAGGCCTATGGGCAGCTTGCAGCAAGAGCTGAAGTGGTGGTAGGATTAATCTACTGAATGGGGGGGCTGAACTAGGGCAGGAGCAACACCCATCCTGGGTAGGGGTGGTCTCACTTCTGCCCAGTGGCTGCTTAAACATGGTCAGGCTTCAGTGTGAGAGCAGGGGAAGGGCACAGAGGGAACAGGAACAGTGCATGGCATGCACTGTGCAGCTGTGTGAGGAAAAATAGGAGAAGTGCAGCCTGGGACACGCAACTGCAGGAGCTGCTGCAGTATGGTCAAGCATATCTGGTTCCAGTGAAAATGCTGCCGAAATATTGCTGTTAGAAATTCACCAAGTTCTAAAGGGATACCACTGAGTGCAGAAGGGGAGTGCAGGATTGCAGCTTTAAAAGTTTCCAGTAGGAATAGGGCTAAAAATAATGGCTGTGCCTGTGAGAATAATGGGGACCAAAACATTGGGAAGAGGTGCTCTCAGCATGCAGAACTTTGCTCTATATCTGAGCATTATGTGGGAATGATAACTGACCTCAGCAAACAAATTATTCTTCCATTATCATTTTGCAATAAATACTACAGGAAAATAGCATTCAAGTGGGACAAGCATATAAAAATCAAGGAAGTAAATTTTAGAATTAAGCGGCAGCTGTTGATGTGGACCTTGAAAACTATTAAAAAAAACTTTCAGCTGAAGGCACAATGACTATAAAGTCCAACAGATATAAAACTGAAGATGTTTTATTCATATTTGTAGAAGAATGTACGCATAAACCTGCAGGAAATAAGCATTACCAGCATGTGTGACAGGTAGATGGACAGGTCTGTGTGTGGCACAGAGGATGGTCCACAGGAATCAAAAGAATGAAACCCAACCTTACTCTCACCTCTCGTGTCCTGATCCACTTATCTGTCATGTCCTTCAACAGAGACATTTTAAGCATTAAAGGTAACCCTCATCCTACTGAACTTGGTAGGAATTTTTTGCTGGGAATTATGTTCCAGTGTCTTTGAGGGTTTGGACCTGAGCCTTGCAGATGAACATATAAAAACACTGCAAGAAAATAGCATAATTAGCTAATATTTCAATATTCTGAACTCTAATTTAATAATGGTCTCCAAATATTTGATATTGATTTATTTATTGCAGGTACCTAACTATCTGCCAATTCAAGGAACTTTAGTTGGATATTAAGGGTCTAGCCTTCCTCTAAGTTCTTTGCCAATGATGGAGTTTTAAATATGCTAATTTGTGCACCATAAAATCCAAAACGTTGTGCTACTGTTCCCCATCCTACCCTCTCCTTCCTGCTAGCCATCATTGCTTCTGCCTTCTAGACTGCAGAAAGGCCACTGGTCTTTTAATGCTAGTGCTAGTAGAGAACTCTTGGTTTGAGCTTGGTGTTTTTCTGGAGTTCAGCTTCTTCCTTCTCCTAAAGCAACTTAATGCATTTCTCAGGAAGGGGAACAGGGGGAAAGAAAGAGCAAGGTCCAACTCCTTTGTTTTTTCCAGGCAAGAGCCTCAGTGCTTTCTGACTCCAAGGAAACTCCAAGGAAAAAGGCTCACAAAGTGCTCTTAGAAAAGGTCCGTGGCAGAATGTCTTTTCCCAGAAATAGGTGAACAAAACTGTTGGGAGAGAAAGTAATAAAAAAGGGCAGGAGTCTCTCAGAGACAGGTTTGGGAAGCAGTGACTGGGGAGTGGGGAGACCTTGTTTTTCAAAATTGTAATTTCAAGCTCCTTGTGGAATATGGCAGTGAATATCCTGATTGCCTTTGAACTGCTATTCTCAGGACTAGAATTCACTAAAAGCCAAATCACCCAGGATTGGGAAGTGATCATGGAGGTGCCACAGTTAAAACATGATTTCCTAGCACTGCCACTGCAGAAGCTGTCCATAAGGAGATCCAGGTTTGGGGACAAAAGCTGTCCCCAAAGAAAAAGGAACCTCTGCTTCAGATATTTAGAACACATTTCAAGGCACCTTTCTGCTGAAGGGGAGAGTGCCTGCTCTTCCTCCTAGGACAGCAGCACACAGGAGGCCAAAGAGCAGAGGTTTCACGTTAAGTCATAACATTTCTCATGGTCACAGTGCTTTAGGTTACATGAGAAAGTGCTGGAGTAAAGGAAAAGATGATGAATTCAGGCTGTCAAAATATTTTCTGTGCTTCAGGAGAGGTATTAAAGATTATTGTCCTGAAGGTGAAATCATTTCCCCATTTTTTATGTGATTTAAATTAAAAAACTCAACAGACCGACACAAAAACTCAACCACCACCAACCCTATCATCAAAATCACTGCCTTAGCTTTTTTGCTTAAGTAACACAATTGAAAGTTATCTTCTCATGTATCCAATGACCTCACATCACACAGTCACTCTTAATCAAGCTCTTATTTGCCTTAAGTCTAAGCAACACATTCACTAAATATTTAATGAGTTGTGGAACTGTTTCCAAAACTCAGTTTTGCCAGTGTTAAAAGCTTGCAACACCACTCATGACAATGTGATTCCACACTCAGAGTTTAAGATTTCTTAAATAAACTTGAACTGAAATGCTTCTCAGCACTTCTGTGCATATCTCTTAGCCAGAAGAAATGTTTAAAAAGCCACAATACTGCCTTTGGGGCCTTGGGGTCCTGGTGGGCACCAAGTTGAACATGAAAATTATTACAGACACTGACTTTTTCCAAACCTGTCTTAAAATGGCTTATAAGACCTTAAAGTCATTTCTCTCCCTCCTCAGTTAAATGGCTAGGAGAGAGGTTTCCTCTCAGGTCTCTTAATACCTTTCACCCAGCTGCCACCTTATTTGTCTTTTGAGTGCTGGGTATCTCTCAGGTCACAGTGTAAGAGCTTTGCCCTCTGTCTGCAGGAGGGGTGCTTCTGCACAGTCCCTCAGCACGAGGGGGAAGAGCTCACAGCAGCATCAATCCACTAGCTTTAAAACCTTTCCTTCAAGCTCTCAGAGAAAGCATCCACATACTTACAGCAAGTTTTATGCGGGGTAGCAAATCTTAAAGGAGTGATTAGTGGATGTCAGCCACCACCAGCCATTGTCAGGGTTACTGAGGTCACAGACAGGAAAGCATCTGAGCTGTTACAGGAATTAAATAAATGGGGTACAAATTGATGTTAAAGAAGGGCTGCTGGGTCCTGAACAAATCCAGTGGCTGCAGCAGTACTTGGCTGGGAAAGCAAGGCTTGCAGCAATGCTCAGAATGAACAGGAACAAGAATGGAGGTCCTTGGATCCACACCTGACCATTACTTTCACCACAGCCAACACCTGCATGGAAAGAAAGAAAAAGAAAAATCCACAAAACCCTGTATTGAAAAATCCACAAAAATCTGCAATTCAGTTCAATCAAAGATTTAAGTTAACATAAAACTAGTTCTTGAGGACATAAATATTCTCCTCTTCTTGTGCAGCCTATTAACAAGCCCAGCTCTGCTATTACTAAAAGGGCTAATACAACAAACTACTAAAGCAACAGCACTAGGACTGCTTGTATGCTTCTCATTCCATTACCAATTACTATGGACAACAGGTTACAGAAAGATCTTACACAATTCAAATGGATTCGTCTCTATGCACCAGAGGCTTCCAGGAATAACAGATAAAAACATGATTTATTACATTGTACAAAACTGGATTCAGAGTAAGCAAGTGCAGAATATGGTACATGATTTATTTTTTCTGTACATTACATATTGTTAAATTTCACTGACAAATCCAAAACTTTCACAATTTTTCCTTTACCTGCTTAAGCCAAGCAATTTATTTTGTTCTACAGGACAGAAAAAAAATTGCTTCCTGGAGAATTTATCATCTAATTAACTTGGCAGAAGGTGCTCCAGCTCAGACTGACTTTCAGTGTTTCCCATAGCTTGTCAGGTTAGAACCTCAGTTGGTAGCACAGTGCTCTGCCACTGTACCAGTCTAGGAACAAGCAACTCCATCCTCATTAAATTTCAATAATGTCTTCTTCTTAGAAGATGAAATTAATGCAGTTGCACTTGTAGACATTCCAAACAGTATAAATGAAGGCTGTAGCTACTATCAGAAAGATTTCCAGTAGCCCCAGATTGGTCTCATGAGTTCTGCAAGATGTGCTAAGATATGTTAAATGTTTAATAAAGTCCTTAAGAAAAATAAATATTTTTGCATAATGTATGTACAAAACTTGGTTGATTTCCTTCATTCATGTAGGTTCAACAGCAGATATAACCACAGTTATATTTTACTCACTAGCTCCTAATAACAAATGCCACCTTCGTAACGCAGTAAGAGTCTAAGAGAATATTGGCCTGTTCTTTATAATAGTGCAAATTATATGGAGGCGTTTTGAAAACCATGGCTTATTGAAAGAAGGATTAACAAAAAACCCCCTCCTTTGGTCCCTGCAAGAGTAGTTTAATTCTTCCATGAAATTTTCAAAACTCCCCTACATAATTTTAACAAACTATTAAGGCGTCGAAAGCACAGATTTAAAGTTGAGATTAAAGTGGTCTTTCTTGGACTTGAAAAAAAAGTCCACTGGAGATTTCCTGACAACGAAATTTTCTTAATGTTTCTCCTTTCCTCCTTGCTATTCTGCACAAAAACAATATACCAAATGAACCTCTCTGATAATCTCCCCCATATATTTATTTAAACTACAATAAAACATTACACTTAAATATATTGCACAAAAAGCATAACATATCCTGCCTGACTCTTCACAAAAATGGCCACAAACACAGGAGAACAGCTACTGAACATCTCAGAATTTGAAGAGATCAATAAAATGCTGAGGAGATACTGGCATGAGACAGGTGTTTGGGTCACTGGCTGTGCAGGGGTGTCCTGTATCCTGAGAAATGAAGGAGAAAAAGAAGTAAGTTCTCTTTCTATATTCAGTCTCCCTTCACCCCCAATTTAGGGGAAAAAAACTCAAAACAAAACAATAAAAAAACCAAACCCAAAGCAATTCTCTCCTTCTATCAGAACCTGAGCCAGAGCCCTTGAAAAAGTATCATCTTCCTTATTCATTATTTTTTGATAAGCATAACAAAAAGGCAAAAAGGCACCAGCTTTATTGAACCTAAATTATCTATTTAATCAAAACCTGAAGTCATCTACTGCTCTGGGGGAAAATTAGTCCCTTCCTTTGAAAAAGATGGGCAGCAGATATTTCCTCAAAAAACCTGAACAGCATGTTTGAATTCCCAATCTTAAAAGCATTTCTACCTTGCTACATTTTCCCCCTAATCTTTCATGCCCACCTTTCCCCCAAGTGAAATGAAAGCACTGCCTTAAAACAGAAGTTGGCACCTAGGCAAGGTAGGAATAGAGAAGTAAGACAGAATGGAAAGGCTTTGTCATTACAAATGCACTAAGCCTGCAGTGCTTTCTTTCCTCTTACAGAAATTTGACCTCAGCAGACCTGTCCAATTACTTAAGATTCAAATTCTTCTTTAAACAAAAAGTTGTGGTTTGCATCTTATTAAAACCCCCTAAATGAGGGAAATGCAGAGGTGTAATGAGAAGTTCCCAGATAGTTCAATGGAAAAGTTAAAAAAAACTTGTCAGTGTTATTGTAAGGCTCAGAAGTGTCCTCACCAGGCTTTAAGGAGTTTCTGTCCCTTTTCCACCAATGCTGGTGAATGCACCACATGAGGCAAGAAAACTAAATAAATACATGACAAAGAGATTACAGACTACTATGGTCCTCATTGCTTTTGTTTCCACAGGGAATGAAATTACATGCAACTCAGTTAATAGAAGGAAAAAACCTTTAAGTGATTTTTTTTCTCACTGCCACATTCCTACCCAAAGTCTTTGCAGCACCAAAATGCACCAGGTGAAATATATTCTAAATACTGCTCAGCTTTTCCAGTGAAAATTGTTACCCACCAGATTTATTATCTATGTTTTCCCATTAAGTCTGTGGAGGACTATAAGAATACATCAGGAGGTATCACCTCCTCATCTCGCACTCTTTTTAATAATTGCTTTAACATCACCTGAGAAACAGTTTATAGATTCATGACACAGAGGGAAAGACAAACACACACATTAAAAAAAGAGACCCAGTTTTACACTGCCTATTGGGGGAATCTGCAGATGAGAAAGAACAGATGACCAAGACCAAAATCAGAAGTGTTAAACTTAACACCTTCATCTTGAGATGACATCTGCAAGGAAGATCTGCACCACTCCAGAAAACACTTAAAGGTAGTTGCTAATGGACTATTATCTTCTCTATCCATTGCCATGTCAATGTCATGTCATTACTTTCCTAGTTTCCAGCAAAAAACACCATCAGAATTTCAATTCTGTGAAAAAGGTAGGGTTTATCCTCTTTCTTCTTTGTATTCCTGAATATTTTAAACTGAGTTTGTAACATGCTGCTTTTTCTGCATATCATTATAAAAGCATGTCTGAAACTTCTACCCAGTCGGGAATTACAGGTGCAATAAAAATCTCAGAGATCAGTTATTGGTGTTTTTAGTTATTGAAAATAATATAAATTTTACAGTGAAAAAAGCGGTGAGGACCAAAAAGAAGACTCACAGCTTTCTTTTAATTATGAATATTCCTCATTTTGAGAGAAATACATTTTCATGGGAATAATGAACTAAATAATAAAGTAAAAACACTTAACAAAGTGTTAAAATAATTTGATTTCAAAGTTTCAAAGCTAAGGCAGACTTCCTTCAAAGTAAGAAGAAAATTCCCCAGGAGGAGTGTTTACTGGCAAATGTAGTCGTTTTCCCCAAAATCTAGCATAGCTAGACATTAAGAAGCTCTGTAAAAGTATTTTCACCATTTCTTCATTCAGAAGGCAACAATATAATTGCTTCCCTTGGCTACCTCAAGTCACATGCAGCCTTTTTTAGGGAATTTCTGTTCAGAAATAAAAGAAAATATGACTACAGCATTCCAAGTGCAATAAAATCAATTTTCGTACCTTTGTATGAAAGTTATCTGAGGTACATGTTACTCTTCAGATTTAAGTACTGAATTAAATACATCAGGGAATGCAGAAAACAGTTTACAATAACACTGAGTGCAGAGAAACCTATTTCTTAGCAAAATCTGTCTGATCCCACTGGCACCTAAGCTCATTAGAAATTGAATTATGGCTCCTAGTTTAAATGGCATTAAGAGGGAATATGGCAATAATAAAATACAAAATGATGAAAAGCTGAGACGGGAAGTCATCACTACCTTTATCTAAAAGGGAACAAGAAAACTATTCCTGCTGCTGAACTGATGTGCAGAAAGAAAAATCAAAACAAAGAGCATCAGACAATTAGAAAGGAACACATTATTCACTTTGACATTATGGAACAGTCAGCAATGAAGACAGATGAGACACAAGAAATACCTGGAGTAACAAAGCAAGGTGGTAGTCCTTTGAAATCGTGAAGAAGGAAGCAGGAAGGAGAGCCATAAAGTAAAAGAAGCAGAGTTAAGGTTTATTTAAGCCAAGGTTGATAAGCCATTTAGAAAATGTCTTTAATTCTTGTGGCAAATCACAAGCAGTTTTGTGAGAACCAAAATCAGCCCAAGTGGCAAGAAGACTATAACCGAGTATTATGTGATTACACTGTTTTCACGAAGCCCTGGAAACTGAAAGAAGAAAAGATATTTCAGCTTCTGTGGCCATGTCTGAGATAACCTAAAAGTGCTACTAAATAAGCTCAGGAAAATAAAAGAATCTGCCACAACTGCAGTGGTGCCTATTGGAACAGAGGAAATAGTATACATGAAAACACTCAAGAGACATAGCACAATAATTAGTCTTTTCTTTTGCATTACTGAAATTATGTGGTTTTTTTCAGTTTCATCATGGACAAATCCTTTAGCAAGAAGTAATTTTGAAAAGAGATGTTCAGTATGAAAATTTTCCTATGACTCCCTCCTAACACAGAAGAGTTCAAAAGTCACTGTACTTCCAACAAAGAACTTAGGAGACTCCTATGTGCTATATATAAATTGACTTCGGTTACAGATTTTAGACAAGGAATACAAATGCCTCTTCCTGAAAAAATCTTAAACATTTGTTAAAAACCCATTATGATTATTATAGTATACTGAAAAAGTGAAAAGTAATTTCCCTACTTCAACAGTTCAATAGATAATTCAATTCAGTGGCCATCAGTTCCTGCTTTTGCAAGGCCTTCTTTGAAAAGAACACAAAACAGAGGGCTCCAAGAATTTCCTTTGGAGTAGCTCTTTCACATTGTCAGCAATTACATTATATTATCAATTTCATAAATTGCTGAAAATTCTTCTCATCACTAGCTAGTCCTGTGCTTTTGGGCTGTATCAGACCCTTGTGGCTTTGGTTCTTAGAAACTCCTAATTCTCAGCATGCTTACCCAAAACTACAATTTACTTGCATCAAGGATGTCCCTTAGTGTAAATAATTTCCATTCTCTGTCTACAAAAAGAATTTATGGAGAGCAGTCAGTTCCTTGTTAGCACAACTGAGTTAAGATAAATTAATCACTCCTAGTCTTCTTCATGCCCTGATTGCTTTAGCACTTTTTTCTCTGCAACTATTCCCATATTTAATGAAAGAAGAAAAATAAAAATAGATGTCTTATGAAGAAGTGTTCAGCTCTGCCTGAAGTTCTTCTGAATGACCTTGGAAACAAAAGTTGCCTGACTTCTGAATTGTACCATTAAACAAAGAAACAAAATTTTTACATATTATCAGCTTTCTCAAGACTACAGTGCTTCCATTTGTTTCAAGACTCAAACACTTTTTACCTTTCCTCTGTAGTAATTGTGATTTCTCTTTTAGAATTTGGATTTGGTGGTAGTGTTTTTGTTGGTTTTTTTTTGCTTTGTTTATTTTGGATTTTTCTTGCTATTCATTACAGATATAATTGTATGCCAAGTACTCACACATTTAGTTTAAGAATTTTTATAATCAAGGATAATACTGAAGCTTGAATAAATTTTCAAAGCCTGACAGAAGTTCTGATTAAGGAATACTTTCACCTAGAACAGGATTTATCTAGAATTAATAAAGTAGCTCCTGTCCCTTTGCCCCTCACCCCTGCTTTATTTCTCACCTCTCTTTAGCAAGCTTGGGAAAGGATACAGACAAGTGTCTGAAAAAAAAGCACTATTTTTTTCCCCATATAACTGAGTGACAGCACTACTTGAGCCACACTGCCCTGAAAAAAGAGGGACAGTATTTCAGATGTCCCTGCCAATAAGGGTGCTAATTATGCATAAATCAATTAATTTAACAATCCATTTCTGCCTGATCATCATTTACTTTAAGACAGAGACAAGGCTTAGTCACCAAGGCTAGAGAAGGAATACTGCAATGTCGGCTCACAGAATGATGAGGCTGAGAGGCACCTCAGCAGCCTCTAGGCACCTCTAGCCCAGCCTCCTGCTCAAAGCAGGCTAAGCTGTGAGATCAGAACAGTTTGCTCTGAGCTTCATCCAATCAGTTCCTGATCACATCCAAGGATGGAAACTTCATCAGCTCTATGGTCACACTGTTCCCTTGCTTGGCTGTCCTCGTGGCAGGCTCTTATGTCCCCCTGAAGCAATCTTCGCCACTCCTCACATGGCAAGTCCTCCAGCCTCCCTGATTATATCACCCTGAACTTCAGGGTGATTATATCACCCTGAACTTCACCTGAACTTCACCCAGCTTATCAGTACCTCCCTTGTGCTGGGGGCCTCATGGCTGCAGCATCCCAGATGGTCTAATGAGTGCTGCATGAAAAGGGATAATGGCTTTCCTCAATCTGTTGACTGTGCTCTTGTTGAAACAGCTGATCCCAAACACCTGCTCCAGTATTTTTGTGCAGAAGCACACAACCAATCTATAACTGCGCTGTCACTTTAAGACCTGCCCAAATTTCTAGGATGAGGCAGCACTGGAATGGTGATCTAGGAGGTACTGCTCATCAGTCCAAAGTACCTTTATAAACTTCCTGTGCTGTGTTTCAAAGAATTTAAAAGTCCAAAATGAGCCCTATTATTCCAGCAGTAGGTTGGAACAGCTGTCTTGTCACTTTGACTGCTATAACCTCCTACTGGAATACTACTGCAACCTGCACAGGTTCACTGCCTCTTACTGTCCCACCATCTCAGAGTTTAACATTTCATTCCAAACACATTCAGAGTAATTCCTAATATTAGACATTTGTACTTTTTAATTACACTAAGATCAAAATGAGAGATATTTAGTGTAGAAAGCATTAACTCTACACAGTGATGGCAGGCAATCCAGAGAAATCTCGTACCACAAATGCCCATGTAAATGCACCTTTGAAACTTCCCCTTTCAGAGAGAGGCTTTAACCTACATATTGAGCTACATGCTAAAGACTTATTCTACTGTAATGAAAGTTCTTAGTCATTTTTGATACAGATCCTTCAGAAAATGCCCAGGTTTTTCGCAGTAGAAGCCAATTCTGGCTACCTGCTTTCCTACTTTTAATTTTGCAAAACCTTACTACCTGGAAAGGCTCCCATGGTATCAAAAATACTCAACTTCAAGATCACATCATTAAGGAACATGCTATTTCTAGCAGGATTTCGCTTATTCTGCTAAACAGCCTAGGTTTTTTGAAGGAAAATTAAAAAGCCTCACACTGACATACAACTTCTCATAAAAATCACAGAAAGGTGACACAAGACCAACTAATTTACGTTATTTAGAATATGAGTAATATGAGTATTTTCCAAGATTTCTCAAACATTTCTTGCTCTTTGTTGTCCACTTGACAGTACCCATATCTGATCTTCCAGCTGTAAAATTAAAGAAGTGTCACTAACTAGAAGGCTCTGTTACAGTACAACACAGAGCAAAACAGGATTAAGTAATCACACACGTTAAAGAGGAGAATGCCCTACTGAAATTAAAATCATCCTGTAAGACAACATATGCCTTACGGTAAACCTCAAAACCAGGGTAAAACACACTCTGGAAGAAGTTTTAAACATTCCTCCAAGCTTCCTATGGGACACAAGCAAAATTATAAAAATACAGAGCTCTTTAGCAATGTGGTAAGAAAAATGTAGTAATTATTTCTCATTAGACATGTATTGGCTACCATGGCATCATTAAAAACACTAAATTCAGACTAGTCCCTCACAACTTTCCATAAGAAGAAATTAATAAAAGTAGACAGAATAACTCTTTCCACATGACACTTTTCATTGCAATTCTAAGTATTGGGGTTATCAGATAGCAAGAAATAAGAAGTCAAGATTAAGAACAACTTCAGAATTTAACACAGATTTTACATGGAAGTTTTATATATTATTTTCAAGTTAGATATTATCTAATCACCTTTCACATGAGAAAACTGATAAGATGACCATAATATTTTCCCTTGCAGATGATCACCAGTAGCTGTTTGAACTTATTTCTGATTGTCTGTTCCAAAGCTCTTACCTTCCAAAACAGAATACTACAGTGTCGACAGAAATGCAAGGTGTCCCCGTACTGCTCCTTTATTGGGTAATATTTCTGAAGTGCAAAGTACATCAGCTTCCAGTCAATGTGACCTTTCTCTGATGGAATCAAATGCCTACAAAACTAGACATAAAATTAATATCTTCCTTTAAAATTGTTGTAGTCAATTCAGGCAAAGGACAGGGGAAGATGGGGGGGGAAGGTAGTTAAACTGAAGTTTTGTAACTAGAATTGTTTGAAGTCAATATTATGACATCATACATCTCTGCAAAGCAGTGACAGAGATCTGGCCACAAAAAAGATGGAAGGCAGACACTAAAAATAGGAGAGTGCATATTTGCCAAGAAAAACTAGGCCATACACAGCTGATCTAATTCTACTGTCTCAAAATTATTCTAATTATAGTCAAGAAGCATTTAACAAAACAGTATTTAGAGTTGTAAGTAATTAATTTTATCCTTCTAAAAAAACCCAAACCACTCAGGAATGAGATTTAAAAACATGATTGTGCACTGCAGATAATGGTTTTCTGTTAAAGTAATATGGATTTAAATAAAGCTCTTTAATTTTAAAAACATACACATGTTTATTTTTTACATTTGGTTGTGATCTCTCTAGAAGGATAGCAATAATCAGTGATTGATGTACTTCTTGAGGACCTAATCTGCACATAAAGATTAGCTGCCGTACAACAGCTATTTCTCCCCAGCTTGAGAGACAGACAAGGTTTATTAAGTATGTATTATAAAAGACTTCTGTTCCACTCAGTGTGGATTAATGCTAATACATTGAGTGCTTTCTTAATTCAGAAGACAATTCCTGAATGGGGAGAGAATAGAACTGCCTTTCTGATTTCAGCTACACTTTATTTTGTTTCATAATGGCTCATTTTTTTCCAAAAATTCTCTTCAGATATCAATTATGTTTTCACGGTTGTTTCAATGGCTCAACACACACACTGCAGGGGACAGAAAAACCAACATCATGTGATTCTGTGGCTTATTAAGCCAGTACACTTTTAACCAGATATGGGAACATCATTAGATAATAACTTAGTAAGAAATTAAATGTGAACATTCAGGAACACACTGGAAACACTGTGTACAAGAGTACTTTATGGGGCACAGGGACAGCTAATTTCACTGAAACCCTTCAGGATCTTTCTCCCTGCATTACCCTAGTATAAAAAGCTCCTCTCTAATCAGTTTTGTCACTGTTCAATAGAGCTTACCTCATCTACCCTCAAAATCCACTCAACTGCTACATAAGCTTAAATTTGTTATCCTTGTAACTTCACCTTGAATTCTTCTGGGCTGCTTCTGAAGATGGGTTTTCAGTTTGCTTCTGTCTGTCTATTTTTTTCCACAGTTAATTCTAAAACCTTTCATCTCACACACACACACACAAAAATCTTATTTGGGTCAATGGTGCATGAGTTAATTGAGCTTCAGTTCTGTCTTCCCCATTACAATAATACTTAATCTGGTAGTCACCAAGCAACTTCAACCTGCCAGATTTAAGAAGGGGCACTTTGGCTTCCTCCAGTAGAGAATGTATTAGGCTTCAGAAGTTCTTCCTCAGCTCTGATGAGGTACCTTCCACTTCCTTAGATTTATTTTCACCTAGTCAGACTTTTTCCCAGCATTTATTAACATCAGAAAATGAAGACAGTTCTGGAGTCATTCCTAGATTAATTTAATGCTCTTTATGGGGAAGTGACAGGAAAGTACTGCTTCTCTTTCTGTTAATAATTTCAAAGCATTTGTTCTTATCTTCTTAGCAAAGATTCAAGTTGGCTTCTCCAGAATTATCATGTGGCTTAAAAGTCTGAGAAACCTGTCTGTCTCCTTGGTTGGTAAAGCAAGCTCTACTTCAGAGGAAGACTTTAGAGGTATCCTCTACAACACTGGCCAGGCAGTTTTTTAGAAAGCCCATCTTGCAATCACTAATCATGTGTAATCATGAATATTCTCTGTATTTGGGGCTTGATTCCTACTAAATATTGCATTCAGTATGTCTGTGAGTTTAAGATAACTACTGGGCTGTTTCCTTGCATTCACTTTCAAAAATAATGCAAGGAAACAGCTCAGGAGTTATCCTAAACTCACAGGCATACTGAATTGAACATTTAGGAGGAATCAAGCCCCAAATACAGAGAATACTCATGACTACTGCACAACTATACACTTTCATCTCAAAAAAGACAAGTTCATGCTTCATTATTAGTATATGATATCAAAAAAGCTACATTTATACAAAAAAGACAGTTTATTACCTGCTTTTCTGCAAAATGGTACTGGCAGAGTTTTTTCCACAACTGTCTGTCTTCACTAAGCATGTACAAAGTTGGGGTCACTTGACCCAAAGTAATAATGTCCCAGCCATCAGAGAACCTGTATAAGATGTTATTCAGCATATGGAGAGGGAGATCGCTAAGTGTGAGTCCATTGTTGACTTGCTGGAAATAAGAGTTCAAGACTTTTAGCTACAAAAACATGACAGTATAAAGTACAAATAAGATTCTTTACTTTAGAGAAATCTTGGGTCTCAGTTTAGTTTTTTCAAATAATTGAATAAAATCTATGGTTAATGCTTGCCTACAATTATTTCCAACCGCTGTTGGAAATTTAAGTTAATGTACAGAAGCAACAAACTGTAAGCTTTATAATTCATAGCTTTCCTACTGTTAAAATAAACATATCCTAAATTTGTTATTTAAATTTCAAATCATTTTTGAAACACTTCTGTTCTCTCAAAATATTATGCCATCTTGAAAACTATAATCTAGTCAATTCCATCTATATTGTGCTAAACCCTTAACTATAAGAAAGGCATGAACCAATTAATTCTAACTTGTTGGATACTATAGTTTCTCAATTTTTATTAACAAACAAAGCACATATCAACTTGTCTTAAGCCAACTAGAGTACAGAATAGAATATAGGATACAGGACTAAAGACCAGAGATACAAAATGAAAGCATTTTGCAAGTTAGGGGCAGAAGAGAGTGGGATAATTTCTGAAGTCTAGCTCCCCCTAATTTATAAGTGAGAAGATCTGCAGAGACGACAGGTGAGAGCACTGAGAACATTTTCAGTAAGACTCTACACCTCTGTGAACTGCAGTGGGGTAAGCAGCAGCACAGCTCCTACACGGCTAAAGCTGGAGCCCACGGTGCCAGGTGGCAGAGGCCCAGCAGGCTGCAAGCTGTGTCCCAGCTGGCAGGGAGGGAGCACGGGCAGTGCCAGCCCCAGGGAGCAGAGCTGCCCTGTCACAAGGTGGTGGCAGCACAGCAGCCCTGCTGCACCCATGGGCTCACATTTCTGTCTGCTTTCTTCCCAACCATTCACCTTGCTTGTAGACCAGACTTCCCATAGAGTCATCTGGTACAAGCACCGCTGGAGCAGCAGCATTCCTCTGCTGAGGAATGACTATGTGAGCACTACAGATGCAAGATTCCTCATGGGCTACTCCAGCCAGTGTAAAACAGCTCCAAGGGAAGGGAACAAGCACAGCAGCAACTGCACTGTCTCAGAAGTGTCTGTGCTGTGGTTGCCTGCTGCATGGAAACTGCTGAGACCAGGTTTCTCAGTTCTCCTTCTATTCCAAAAGTAGCTGGTTTATTCAGATAGCCAGCTCACACAGGAAGGACAATTTCAAAATTTCACAGCTGGAAGCCAATAGATAAAACACTTGTATGACTTTATAGTGAGCAATATCTTACAGGATTTCTTCCAGGAGTAAGCCAGTCAGATTAAAAAATTGTCTGCTTATCATCAGAAGTTTCCACTATAAAGTCCTGGAACAGTGCATACCACATGCTTTGAACACAGTGACATGAGGAGAAACCAAATGCTGAAGTCATTATCTTTTTTTTTTTTTTACAAAAGCTACTGTGCTAATGAATAAATCTGTAAAATGGCTACTTCAGTTGATACACCTCCAAAATGTCTTTTAGATTTTTATTTCTTCAGATGTAGAAAATTTATTTTGGAACTAAAAATTGGGGCTTTTCCCCCCATGTTTATCTGACAAGCTAGAGACAATTTTTTTTTAACTTATTTGAGTGAGAAAAACAGTTTTATCTACACATCTCTACTACAAAGCAGCAGTACAGACACTGTAGCAGCTTTCACTAGAGAAAAGCTATTAATACATTAGAAAATCAAGCTGACGCCAGTGAGTTAATTTCACATTACTTCTTCATAAAACAAAACAAGTAAAATTGCTTAAAATATATTTGAAACTTGGTTCACTTACAAATCCTCATGCAATATTCAACATAATTCCCCTCCCCCAAATATTAATTAATGATTTAATAATATACCTTGTTCATCTGAAGATTTTTTAATTGTTGTTGCCACAGAAGGATAGTTTCTAATCGGCAAATCCAAATGTTGATGTTGCCTACCAACACAGATTTTCCTACTCCCCTAATCAGTATACAGAGAGTAGAACTCAGATCCTGTAGAAGATCTTTGATCAATCGTGGATTATATTGGTCTTCCATAACTGGAAAACAAAACAAAGCCAATACAATTTGGGTTGACAGAGTTAACCAAGCTAATAGCTCAAGCTAATCAACACTCCTTTTTTAGATGAATTAATTACAACTCAACTGTTTGTGTACAAACAACTGCCCTAATTCCCACCCTGACATTCATTGGTGCTGTTCCTTATGTGCAAGATCAATAATGAACAATCTCACAGGCAGATTTGATGCAAAAACTCATGCTATGCATTTAATAAGCTAAATGCTAAACAGGTAGGTATAAATCCAATTTTTTCAGTTCAAAGCAGACAGTATATCTCCATTTAGTGTGGATACCAGAAAAAAAAAATCAATATAATGTAATGGTGTTTTCTTAAAATAATCAAAATGTATGTTTTTTGAGTCTCAGTACATCATGCAAACTGAAATCCAAAAATTTTATTAACCTAAAAGCTTTCGCATTTTGTGAGGAGTATAATTTAAAAGCAACCAATAGTTTTTGAATAGAATCTAAATGTCACAATTTCACCAACCTGTTTCAATAGACTTTATTCAATAACAAAGAGAAAGTAACTTACTGCAATCATGGGATGGGAAGTATGAAACCTGGTATAATTAAGAATGCTATTACTATGTCTTACAATGCAAAAATGGTAATACGACTCAAAAAAAAAAATCAGTTGATAGCTTAGTTACAGCAATTAAATCTGAACAGTTAGATTACATATTTCTAGGTCTTACCCTTCTGCACAATTTTGTCCAAAATGTTAAAGTAGTTCTTCTGTGCTGCACCACTCAGTGAAGTTAACTGGGATTTTGCAATTAACTGCAACAGCTATGACAAAAAATTAGAAGTCAGAAGAATGACAGAAGTAAAGGATGGTTTTAAATGCACATTTAGTGCATACACTCCCCTAAAACAGCCTGCATTGGCATTTTGTGAAAATACTACTACAGATTTCAGAAGACAAAGTAAGACGTGGAAAGCTTTAAGCATTCCCACTGGCATCCCATGAACAGTTTCTGAAGGATGCAGGTTTTCAAAATACTGTACAAATGCTTATCTCTAGCAAAGCACATGATATACTTTATGAGCTGTAGTGAAGCAACAGAGTTTATTTCGGGGGCTCACAAACACAAATGTTAACTTGGATGTGGCTGGGTCCTGAAATCCCTGACACATTTGGTGGCCAGTAACATCACACTGAACTGATACCAGTTACCAGAATTACAGCTTATGAGTGAAAGTATTATACTAGTCAAACTGAAGCGTGATGGATTTAGTGCGCTACTTTCTACTCATGGAGAGGAGATACCGTATTTTGCCTAAACTAGGCAAAACCACTTTCTGTATTAGACCTACACTCATGTCCCTGGTAGAATAAACCACAGAAATCTAATAATGAGCAGTGTACAAACCATGTCAGTAACTTTCTCTTAAGTATTATGGTAAGAATCTCCTAGCTGTCCACACATCTGTCTCTGAAACCACTGTGAGCAAAAAAAGTTACAAGAACGGTGGCAATGGTTCAGGGCAAAACAATTACAACAGCTTAAGTTCTTGCCACACATGAATGCCAAGCAATAGCTACTAGAGGCAGCCCTTGCTCCATTCTGGTACATTTGCTTTTATACTTCAGATTAAGTTTTGTGGGTGATAAGAACCATTAGCTCTTCAACAAAAAATGTTCTCTTATTATGAGAGACTTTGATGTTGTGACACAATTGCAATGTTTAGAGGTGTGGCACTGAGCTTTGCAATTTGCACTTTATGAGTTCAGAACAAGTGTTCTCAACACACTGGAAAGGGAAAGCATGGAGCAGAAAACAGCATTCCCTAAAGAGTGTTCCAGTACGAGGTAGCACCAAGTGTTGGCACAGAGGATGAAAAAGACTAAGCTTGCCAAAAATTATATTGTATCTTCATTTCTAAAACACCAATTTGACACTTCACTCAACAATCATTTTCCTTGGGAGGAAGAAAGAATACACCTGTTCTGTCCCTGATTTAATAATGTTACTTCTGGCTCCTCTGCATGTTCTCTGACAAAATATTATGTGCTATACAAGAAAGAAATAATTGTCCTGATGTACTTAAATACAAGCAATCTAGTCTTAAAAACTGTATAAATAGATACCAGGATCTCTTTGTTGGCTTTTTCAAAGCCTATTAGCCTGATTAATAATTGAGAACATACCTAGAGGTCTCTGGCAGTCTGCCAGTTCAAGCAAGTAGGTACATTTCTCTTCATTAATTAAAAAAAAAAAGTCAGTTATGTTGCTCAGTCTAAAGATCAAATTAAAGAAACAAATTCCACCTGACTGACTGTAATGGAAATTCTAATTTCAGTGAAAGTTAATATGCAAGGATGAAGATGACTGTAGCAAAAGCAAGTAGCAGAGAGTACTATGATGTCACACACGGATACATGCAGAGCCATGGCTTATGCTGTCTACTACGGATTGTAACTTTGAATGGATCTATGTTTACTCAGAAACATTTGACCAAAACCCACCCATATCAAATTCAGTGCATCAGAATTTAACAGCTACGAAGTTATCAATACACTACAGCACCCACAAATACAAAAAAACTAACTGATCCTACCTTCTCCCCCTCACTGCCAATCCTAAAAGAGTCCTGGACAGACATCAATATTAACTTTTAATAATTAATGAAATTTTTAGGTAGTTGGAGAATCATCTTGATGGTCTGGGATCAAAGAAGAGCTAGGGTAGGGTTTGGTCTTTAAAAATAGAATTCTTGAGTTATACATTGCTATCAACAAACAGCCACCACTTCAGGGGAACTGATGCAAAGACATGATCAAGATTTTGTATTTGTAAAATAATTTTAAATTTTAAAAATTCCAAATAAATTCTAAAACATTTAAAGGACTTTGAAAGTGTTTCTACTATTTTAAATTCACTCAGATTTCTTAGGGTCTGCTCTTAGCAGAAAAATTGTTTGGATTGCAAAGCCAAATTTCTGAATTTTGAAGTACTGCTCCTTCCTCAATGATCTTAAGCCTGGCTGACTAAACCAGCTTTTTGTATCTCTTGGTGAACAGAAAAAAAACGGGTCAACATGCTTATGCTGGACTTTGCACTTTGTCTTGATCAACTGTTTGGAGCAACCCAGTTCAGGCACTCCAGCACCTAAAACAAATGCAGAATTCTCGATCTGCATTTCTTTTACCTTCTTGCTATTCAAGTGAGACACCCAACATTGACACCATTTATACCAAATCACTTTAAGTGCTTTGGTTTTTCTTCTTCCTACTATTCAAGGCTGAAAAGTCTTGGGAAGGATCAAGGCTCTTGATTCTGCTCCCAAAAAAAGCATTAAAAAGTAATGTTCTAAACCACAACATATACATATACCAAAAAAACCCCAAACCCTGCATGGAGAACAAACCAGGCAAGTACCCTAACCACTAGCCTGGAAGCAAATCCTTTTTGATTTGTTTTCACATATTTTGTTTTCCTGAAAGTACAATACATTGCCTCATCTTCACAGGGATGGATAGAATGTGTTTTCTCTACAAATAGTCCACAGGCTAGTGGTAAGGGTGTTCTCCTGGTATGTTTATTTAATTTTTATTTGTCTTTTCAAGTTCAGGATGCATTCCAAGAAATACAATATTATATTTGTGAACAGCCTCACCACTGAGCAGTCCACTCTAGTCCTGATATGACTTGCATTTTGAGCTACTCTAGGAGCTGGGACAAGCACTTTACTACCTCAAGTTAGACAAACTTCAGGCTAGAAAGAGATCAGTATCCCCAAAATAGACATTTCCAAGAGGGCAGCTGGTAAGGCATTGAGGTAATTAAGGCTGCAATCTCAAGTTGTACAGAATATTAACAAAGATAAATGCATAGATATCATCCATGATAAAAAAACTGCAATGAATCACAGGACTGGTAAGAAGTCACAGAAGATACAGAAATAGCAAAATATTTGTACATCAAGTACTCTTCTAGAAATTGTTACTTGAAAGATATTTGAGATGCAGCGAAGTATATTTAAGATTAATAACACTTTGCTATTTTTGGTTGTATAGAAATGATTTTACCTTTAAAGAGAGTTCATTCCCCAGACTGATGAACAACAACTGAAACTACCATCAATGTTCCCCTAAATGACACAGCACAGTGGCCATCACCATCCTCCTCAAGCTATAGGCTTTCAGACAGCCATATAATGAGTTTTCACCAGAGAAAATTTACTCAGTTTGAAGTTGCTACTTGCATTATAAATTACATATGATCATGATATTTATACAATTACAAATCATCTGTTCAGTGCAAAAACATTCCTTTTGTATACACAGGCAGATCAGTAAGTGCATTTTTATAATATACATATAAAATAAAGAGCTTACTTTGACCACGTAATTGAACCTCCTAATGTCCTGAATCGCACTTGAAAAGTCTAAGCGGTTAAAGGCTTCCCCCAAGGTGCAATAGCCATGTCTCTGAGAAAGGGAAAAATACACTTGAAATGGAAGGAAACAAAGACAAAATTGAGCAAAACATTCAGAAAAGCATTCTGACATGCAGCTGATGCTAATGGATGCCATGCTCCCTGAAATGTAGTGCCTCTGGACTGAAGAGGTACTTGTTCTACAAGAAATTAAATTAAACAAGATACACTACTTGTAACTATCAGATATGGAGACAAGGCCTTTCAATTCATATTAAATGTGTAATCTGGCATCACTGGTGTTTGATTTCCCTGGGAATCTACCCCACTCTTGCATAGTCACAATGCTGGCACTCCCTCGTGGGAGTCCCCATTTGCCATGCACAAGGAAGAGCTTGCTTGTACAGCTGTCTGAGCCTACAATTATGAGAATTATCTGATCCACACTTAAGGGTGAGAACACAGCAAGTTGCTTCTGAGATCAGAAGAAAAAATGGTCTCAACATCTAGAATTTGTTTTCCAGGTGCTAGAAGCTTAGGGACTTTTTTTTTTACACATTGAGAACAAAAGCAAGTGCATTTTCCTTTGGTACTTCTCCACACTCTAATGTGAAAATGGAAGTTTTAGAGGCTGTTGAGAAGACTTAAGGTGGTAGAAGCAGCCCAAAATGACATGGGATTATGTAAACTCAGTACATTTAGAGCCACAAAGCCACACTGGAGCCCAGGACCAAATACACTGAGGCTAGGAAAATCTGACTGGTAAAAGAGTCTCACAGAGCAGTGTGCTATTATGGTTTTATTAGCCCAGGGAAGGAGGAGGATAAATAACTATTTAAAGCTCATTCCTAGACAGACTTACTTGGTAAATTATGGGATGTTGACAAGTTTTGAAGTACAAATAATGCTCCTTTTTGTGACTCAGTAAACACTTACCATGCATATACCCCAGCAGTATGGGACAGTTAAGAATTCACTGCAGAGTGGTTATAACTACTGCCTGTTAGTGACCAAATTCAGGATTGCACTGCTTGCTCATTCAGCTGATGCACCTCAGACCCAAGCACACTGCACACTTCACAATATGCACACCTTGCATAGCTAACAGCAATGAATTAACACATAGCCAATTAAACTTTTGTTGAAATTTAAATATTTGCAGTTGTTCTCTGCCTAAACAGTTATTATCATTAGGTCATGCTTAAAACATTAACATAGAGACGTTTCCCTGAACAGACTGCTATGAAACTACAGCTTTACCTTTCCCAGTGTACCACCATGACAAAATTATTCCAAAAACATCTCCAATTTCATTTCAGCCACACACATGCACTTGCTTTGGTTTTCTTCAATTTCAATGCTCTCCCATAGCACGGTTCACATGTTTCTTACCAAGACCTCCCTATCTTTTCATCTTGCCCTAAAAAACAGTATCCAGTTTGGGAAGAAATGTTTCCTGGTTGTGAGACCTCTCTTTCAAAATCAAGAAAGATCAGAACCTGTAAGGAAAACTAGAGCCTCCAAATTATGTTTTAGATTAGCTTAGATTGTTGCTCTGGATTTTTTGGTTATTCCTTGCTACTTTTTCAGCCTAGTACTCTAAGCTTTTAAATTTATACAAATAATTACTTGAAAGATAAGTGTTTAATTCTAATCATCCCTGGTTTGTTTTTTATATTAAAAATCCAAATAAATCTGAAAGATGAATGGTCAAATATTAGAAGGTAACCAAAATACTTTGTCTGTTCTCTGAACGGACAAGGAACAGAAGCAAATACTCACACATGACTAGTACACCAACTTCTGCACAAGTAGGGGAAAAAGAAACCCTTTATATATGGGTTATGAAGGACACCAGTGCATGATTTTAGGCTATTTGTATTTTAGCCTCAATGTACTTTTGAAACCTCAGCTTAACCTTATCATTCAAAGCACCACAAGGACTGGTGACAGTCTGTTCTCCCCCTGCTCCTTCTCACCCTAATTTAAGACAGCACAAAAGGAAAAAGCATGTTCGAGACTTTTGCAGACCAATCTAAGTAACGTAATCTAGGAGATAAAGCAGAAAGAGGGCTGTGAATCTGGTGAAAGGCTTTAAAGTACCCTTCAGATCTAGATGGGCAGTCTCTGGGTCACTGGTATATAAGGTCTGCAAAGTCTTGCAGTATGTCCTTTTATGTAAGCTCTTCTCCACAGCATGCCCTTCCTGAGTAAAAAGCTCCGGGTTGTCTCTCTCAGCTCTAAAATGCAAAGCTACTTTTCCCTGCATGGCTACAGTCATCAGCCTCACCTCCTTCCCCCTCTCCTGGCTGACATGACCATGTGGATGTAAAACCTCCTTACTGGTGTTCAAGCTTCACACATCCCAGATAGCCATGGCAATCAGCACAGGAATGAAATTCACACTTCAAGACAGTTTAATCTCTACATAAAATGGATGTATTTTAACTCTTGACTTTCCAAGAGGTGACTCCAAGAGCTTTCATATTCCCGTTACAGTTAGATGATAGAGTTTATATCCCAAACTGAAAGCATGTGGACTTGGTTGAAAATAAAGATCCTCTTTGTAAAGTTTGAAACTGATGCTTTACTTACTTCCATCCAAATTTACACCAAGATCCCAAAATACCAGGTGGCTGCCTGCAAGCAACTTCTTTGGAGATATTTCTCGGGTTTTGCAAATACTTTCAATTTTAGTTCAAAGAGACAGTAGAAAGATAGAAGGGCTTGGATAAGTAATGAAGAACTGTGTATCTGTCCTAGCAAGTTCCCACATGTCTGCCACAAAGACCTACCTACAAGTCACTTGGACAGCTGCCTTTGCCTCACCATGTGCAGGTGTCCAGTATTGCCAATGAAGAGAGTTAAGCATAGCCCCTAAGAACACATGGCAAAAATACTTTTTTCAATATACTGTCTGTCAAGAACCACAAAGATTGACCCGCACCATGCAGACTTACTTCCTTGGTGCTTTCCTTATGAACATAAATCCACTTTTCACGATAAAAACCTACAATAAAATCAAAATATAAGCATTTTAGGCTTCCACATTAGTTAATGCCTTCCAGAAACTCAATTAAACATACAATTTTCAATAAAATGCTTCGTAAGATAGCAGAACAGTTTTAATGAAGGAAGTTTATAAATGATGGAAAAGATAACTAAAAATTGTCTCAAGATGGACCTCCTGAAAATAATAGAAAAGTTATAAAATTTATTTTTTTTTTAAACCACAAGACCTGGCACACAATTGGTTGATGAATGGCAACTTTTGTCAGCTGTCACCAATCTGACATAACATAATTATGTCCTACATAATTCCTGACTTTTTTTTTATACAACGGGCTCCTCAGCGTTTGAAAGTACAGCAGATACAGACCACACTTTTGTTCCTGACCACTCCACCCCTCTAATTCATTTTCTTCTGTACAGGTGCCTGTTATACATTGACTTGGTTCAACTAACTGCAGAGGATAGCAGGGAAGTCAAAGGTACAAGACTAATGAAGGCAATCAGGCTGACCTTCAGCTTTTACAAGTCTTGCATGTTGTCAAATGAGACATGCAGCCCCTTGAATCTTCTGAAATACCTGAAACTCAGGCAAGCCTGGAGAAGCTTGCAGCTTTCTGCAACACCATCTCTAACAATTTTTGGGGATACACAAATAACAGATCATTTCAAGATCAAAGCATTAGAAATGCCAACTAGCTGCTAACCAACTTACCTTTTTTACCTACTCTACCAAATTCTCTGCTTTACTTGCTGTCATACACATTTGCAGTCAAAAGTACAAGCAATCTATTACACATGAGAGCCAATAAAATGGCTTTCATATATTAATTTTTTTAAAGGGACTTGTCTCCAAGAAATTCAGTCTTGATAAAATCTCTATCACGAGATATGATTGTTATGACAAAACATATTTATTTATGAACTGATTCTGGAGTTGGTTGACTAATTAGAACTTGAAATAAACAAAATAAACCATCTGCTTTGGGAAGCAGAAGCTCCCATAAGCATCCAGAAGAATTTAATCTAAAACTAGTCCACAAAACATAACAGTGGTTAGTATCAGAAGACACCTAATACTCAGCAATTACTATTCTTAAATGAATTACCTTTGGATCTTTGATAAAAAAAATCCAAAATAATAAATGATTAATAACACAGTTTCAGTTAAGAAACAGCACTTTTGACACCAGAATTTGTTGCCAATGCAGAAATAGGCATAATTTGGAAGGCTACTCTATAGGTGAGTATAACATTACTACTATAACATTTCTCTGAATCTACATGTGTCTTCTAAAATAAATGAAAAACCCCAGCCTTACATTGTGAATCTGTGTTATTCCTAAAATGATCTTTTTTCCTTTTCTTGGCTGCAAACTCACAGTCTTCAGTATTGTACACTTCTTCATTCTCATCATCTCCAGTTATGATACTGAAATAAAAACATCTAATTAGAATAGCAGTAATTAAATATTTAAGAGCATACATCTTACAATTTCCTGCATTAAAGTCTACCAGCTGGAAAAAAAAATCATGTTCTTAATTAAGAGTCTCTATCTCATTGTCTATAGCAACATGTATCTGGAGAGAAGCTGTCTTCTTTTCTTCCCAGAGGGGCTGAATTTTATGCCAAAGTGATTAATACATGAAAGTATCTTCCTAAGAGGTACCTTGAAAATCATTACTGACATTCAGGAAGGACTGAGGAGACAGTACTAGCTGGACAACTGTAAAACTCTGCAGAGTTCTGGTGTACAAAAATCTGTTTTTTGAAGTAGACCAAGTCTTAACTGCACACAGGTAAAGAGTCTGTGAAGAATTATTGCACATCCTTGCACAGGCAGAAAGCCAGCAATGAACAACATCTCTCTTACTACTGTCACCTTTGGGGCAAACGAAGTCCTCCTTTTAAGAAACTCTTGATTCACAACTCTGTACATACTACAGGTGTCATGGCACTGTTTTACCAACGATTTGTACAGCATCAAGAGGCAAGTGGTCTGTCACTGCCAGAGAGACTCAACTCCACCTATGTCACTTCTGACAGTTAACTATGTAACCCAACACAGAGGACTACACCAAATGCTTACGTATATCAAACACACAGTGTGAATATAAAAGATTACACATATAAATTGCTGAAAATATTTTTTAATAAGCTAACATTTCTAAAATGTATATGAATTTAAAACTGTCTGTGCTACAGGAAATCTACACAGCTTCATGAAATTTTCATTCCATTTTTGCAGATAACTGTAAGGACCAGCAACAAAGATAAGAATGGGTGTTCTCTTTTCTAGTACTGAGAAGGAAGATACTTCATATGAAGGCCACAGTCTTGCACAGATAAGAATAATGAAGCATACATGGTAATGAAGTGGACTTATTTATCTCTACATTACTGCTCTTTGGCAACAAAGTTGTATATGAAACTCCTCACATTCATTACTATTTTAAATCTAAATTGCTTTTTATCACCGCCAGTTTGAACTTCAGGTTAAAACAACTGAACACTGTAAGACAGAAGCTTTTTAAAAAATAACCTGTATCTGGGCATTAAGTGACAAAAATCAAATCATTTTAGTCTATTGCTACTAGCTTACAGAGTTAAAATTTTCAGGTTTGAGCCATCTGTTAAACAACACTGTAAAAATGTTTGGCTTCTGAATTGTTCTAATCAATACATACTATCTCAGCTTAAAGACACACAAGTTAACAAGATTTAGAAAAAGAAAGTTGCTTTTTTCCAGGATTTAAACCTAACATCTTCATTCAGATAGTGCTCAATACAAGGTGATGGCATTAGTTCAATCCTTAATATTTTTAAAGCAGAGGATAAAGACTCAATACCTTAAACATTCTATACAACAGTGCCAAATATCACATCTGGTCAAACAGCAAAAGAGTTCAGAGGGAAGAAACCAGCAAGAGACAAAAGCAAAACATCAACACAAGTTATTTGCTTATGCAACATTTCAATCGAGCAGTTTGTTTTCGTGGGGTTTTTCTCCCCAAAGCTATCATATAGGAAATCTCTAAACTCACTAAAATGAATTTAATTATGATTTAACATATTGGCTGCATCACCACATCATGTGAGAAGCTATGGCAGAATCTGAAGAGTTGCTACAGAACCAGAAATCGAGCCAAAAGCTCCCAGAGTTTTATCATCCTAACAACAGATACAAGACTAGGTCCCTGATACTCTGAAACATAATCCAAGCAGCACAGAAACTCTCACATGCCCCTTGACCAGGGCAAGCAATTGGGAGAGGGTGGGAGACCACATTCCTGAAGGCCTGCTTAGAAGAAGGTTAATATGTAAAGATTCCTTCTTTTGTTCCTGGATCCAAGTGTCCCTAGAAGGTAATTCAGGCCAGTAAGATACTTGAAGTGATTTGAATCCCACTCCTGACACCCCATAAGATATACTTCCCCAAGCATCATATAAATAACTAAGGCAGCTTCAGCAGTCAATAAGTGTAAGGAATTGTGAAGATGAAGACTTATTTCAAACAGTCTTCATCTAGCATTCAAATTTGCCTGTGACACTCCTGGAATTCCTTAAGTCTCTTTAGAGAAAAGACAAATTGGACTGTTACCTCTGAGGATCTTCTGATATGAGGCTTTATTTCCTCATGTTCTGTTCCACTTCACACAGACTTTCCCTACTCATCTGTAAACATCCCACTCCTCTTGACAAACCTTTAGTCTGAAAGTAATGAGTGAAAGCAAGGGTCCCACAGACATCAGAAGAATGGGACAGACACAGTTACCCAATGACTGCTAGCATCCCTTCCAGAAATCTGCAGAGCTGCTTGGCAAGTAATAAAGCTGCTCTACTGTTCCAAAAGCAACCCCTGCCCCCTCAAACACCAAGATAAGATACAAGAAACCAAATCAAGTGCTGCACGTGCCATATGGCGTAACAGAAGTCTTAATTTAGTGTTTTTATTATAATACTGCACGTGACATTTGAGTGTACCTGGCAGGATTTAAATATGTACATAATACTGCCAATTTACAGCTATTCTTACTCTCTTGTCTTGATGACTACTTCATAAAAATTGTTCTAAAGCTTTTAAAAGCAAAGTACCTGGTGTCCTTAGAACTATCATATCTTCAATAGATCATGCAACAATTTCAGTTTTCCCAAAAAGTAATTTCATGGCAGTATTTAAATAACCTCTTGGGTATGATACTTAAAATGATGGAAAATGAGACAGGTCTATCTGAGCTCCAACTATTCTCCCTCATCTCCTTGCTTCTTTTCACATGGCCCTCAACTCTTGCAATTATTTACAGAGACAAATTATTTTAGAAGTGACTCTCACAGCTTGACCATGGAAAATCCTGAGCTAAGTGCACGCACCAAATGATTTTTTCATTTGACAAATATATTGTAATGTTATCTGTTCACAGATTCAAATCCAAGGACTTCTATCCAGAATCGAAACTGCTCTTGTGAACACTGTGTCTCACAGAATCAGACAAGAGAAACCACAGACTGAAATTACTACCTTGTCAGCCCAATCTGTTCATATGAACCCAACACACAAAAAGTAAATATCACCATCATTAAAATCTTATTAGTCTAATTCTTTTACCTCAAAAAGAAGACATAAGACAGCTTTACTCCTAAGCTGCAGGCGAATGAAAGACACTGGCATACAATTCTGTAAGGCAGCTCCACCCCCACCAAGCTTCTCTCCACCACAAGGTTTCAAGGACACAGTGCCACAGCACTGGAAGTGTCTATCTTTGCTTGATTTTACAGGCAGTCACGGCCAGCATTCACACCACAGAGCCAGAACGCACACAGCCCAAGCCACATCTGCAGATACTATATGCCTTGATCACAAGGCACTCTTAGGCAAATAACTAAGACCTACTGAAGTGATGGTCTCTTTTTTTTTCAATCTTAGTTTCCATAAAAGATCTAAAGTGCAATTATTGAAGCAATTAATTATTATGCCAAATAATTAAAACTCTTTCTGCACAAGCGATTATATTTGTTCAAGCACGGTTACCATCAGGTCTACCAATTTTACTAATTCAGCAGCTGGATTCACCAAGGCATTGGATGATTAATCAAGCAAGGTTATAAGTTCTATTTTAACAAGAACACATTCTTCAATTTATGTAACTTATGTGTCTTTAAGGTTTATTTCTGAATCTGTTTGTGATTATATCCTCCTAATTTCTGAAGAGAAAGTATTTGCAATGGTTAAAGGACAATATTTGGCAAACAATTCTATCTACACTTTCTCTCACAGAAGAGAATAGAAACAAAACTAGAAAGGGTTTTATTCAACTAGATAGCTTGAATTTATTTCTTTATAAAGGAAAACTGCTATAACTGCTCCCTTAAATACAATACTAAAGTACTAACTTCAGAAGAGATTTTTACAGAATATTTTAGTGAAAAAGATTATTCCTTACAATGGATATAAATGAACAAAACCCTGCTAGAACTGCCAGACTGACATACACCATCTTCCCTATTCACAGGGCAGCTTGAAGAGAGAAATAGGTATTTTTGCACTGTTTACTACGTTTCTTCTACAAGGAAGCACTTGATAAAGTCTCATTTTTCTTCAGTGCTACATCATGTTAACAAATCTCCTACGCTATCTTCAATATACACCATAATTATTTCCAAATAGCATAAGATGGTACAGAGATCCAGCCAGCAACACATCTTACACTGCTGTACCACAATGTGAAGCCCTGCCCGTGACACAGGAGAGCCCCAAACCTGGGTATGTGCTGGGTACAGACTGGACAGAAAGCAGTTTTGCAGGGAAGGAGCCAGGAGTCTGGAGGACAAGTAACTGAAAACAGGTCAGCAGTGTGCCCTTGTGTTGTGTTAAACCAACTGCACCCTGCATCGAGCTACGGAAAGTGTATCCTGCAGACTGAAAGAAGCAAACATCCGTCTTTATTTGGCATGAGTACTCATCTGGAGCACTGTGCCTAGTTTGGGGCCCCCCCAGTACAGTGAAAATATTGTCATACTGGAACAACTCCAGTGGGGAGTCACCAAGCCACTGGAGTACATGGTGCACAAGGGTAGAGAGCTGACCTTGCTCAGTTCTGAGAGCTGGTGGCGTAGGGAAATCTAATTGCTGCCAGTTTTTAATATGAGGCTATATATAAGATAGAGTGAGACTAAGTTTGGAGAAGGTGGGCAGTAGTAAGTCAAGTGGTAATGGACACAACCTGTGATAAGAGAAACTTTTACTGGAAATTAGGAAGGCAGGGAGAAATGATGCAGCGTAGGACAGCACAACAACAACAAAATAACAATATTGACAGTAACAGAACTTAGAACAGGAACCCAGAAAAGATCTTCCATTCTTGGAAAAGCACAAAGCTGAACTGGGCAAGGCCCTGCAGAACCCAACCTCAGCTGGCCTTGCTTTAAGTATGTGTTTCAACCAGATGACGCTCAGAGGTCATTTCCACTCGAAATTGTTCCATAATGTTGTGCAAACAGACATTAATTGCAGTTTAGTGCAAAACTAAACTGGCATGTAAAAAGTTCAAGTTACAATCATAGATCCAAAGTTAAAAGTGTAGTGAAATTACTCCAAAGTAGTGCTACAATGCCAAGACGTACCAACTTGAATTCTCTAGTCTGAGTTTGAACAACATATTTTTTTAATTGAATAGACAAAAGTAAAATTAAGAAACAAAAATTAAAGCCACAGTTTTTGGCTCCAGAAGAGTTCAATTCTAGGGTGTTCCAAAAATAAGGTAAAAAAAGAAAAAGAAAAAAAAAAATCAATCCAGTATTTTTGCTGAAAGAAGCCATAAAAATACCTCACCTTTCTCTTTGGGGAAAACATACGTATATACATTTATACACACACAAAAAAAGGAGCAGAAATCTTAACGGTATTCACAAAGACTTATCATTCCTTTCATACTTCTCAAACAGTATTAATTAAGCAACCTACATGATATTTATTTTTGAAGCAACTTGCACAGTTGCTAAATACTTATTAGATTTCCCTTACTTTGCCAAATATATCATTAAAGAGATAAAAAAGAATATTTTTTTCAAAGGTATTTAAGGTAACTTTTATGTTGGAGGCTTACTGAACATTCTTTCAGACAAAGTTTTGTATCCACAGTGGCCAGACTGTGGATACAAAACTTTCTTGGATAAAGAAGCCCAAATGAGATCAGTGAGAGATTAACACAAAAGGAAAAAAGGCATGAAGGAAACAGTAGGTTAAGCTTAATAATAATGCTTCACTGCTTGATAACTCCCTTGAGGATTGCTTTACAAATTTAGAAAACACAGGTGTGTGACGACAGCAATACCTAGCTTCCCAGTAAATCCCTCTCTAAACCAGATGAGTTATCTTTTACTGGACTAACAACAAAACACCGAATGTTTCCTTTCCTCATTATGAGCACATTATGCTGGAATTTATGACCAAGATCCTACCCCTGAGAATTACTTCTTTGTGGAGGAGTTTGTTTTGACAAAATAATTTATATCACAGCAGTTGGTGTTTGCCACAAGTATTACTTGATTTACCTAATCTCTTTCTCACCTGTCCTACAGGAGCACATACAGTCACCTATTTTGTTAGAGAATGAGAATTAAGCTACCACTGATTGGATATTTGCAGCAATGGCATTTTATGGCTGCCACAAACTAATCCAACACCCACAGCAGAAAGCCTTCATTCACTTCCAGGTTCAATATGCCTGTTGCACTTGCAATTGACAAGTGTCACTTTTACCTTTAAATAGTACTCAACAGGCATTGGGGGGCAGGTTTGGTGGTATTTTTTTTTGTTTGTTTGTTTGGTGTTTGGTGGGTTTTTTTTGTGGTTTTTTTTTTTTTTTTTTTTTTTTTTTTTTTTTGGTGTGTGTGTTTATTTTTTTTTTCCTTTTTTTTAAAGTATTTATTGTTTTATTATTTTGAAAGACATATAGGGATATGAAGACATAAGAAGGAATCTGGCTGCCTCAAATAAGCAACTCACAAAGCAGTGACAAAAAAGAGACAGCCTCCACAGGGGTCTCCTGTCTGCCTAACTAACAAAACACATGATTGCATTTGTATACAGATGACATCAGCTACCACAAACAGTTGCAATGTGAATGGAAATTAAGTCAATTTTGCCTTCCCACCTGCTATTAATTCATGCAGAATCACTTGTTTTTTTAAACTTACACAGTGTGGCTGATATCATTCAGCTGATTATTCCCATCCTCAAGTGCATGACTAAAGGTTTCACATCTTTTCCATCCATCTTCTGTTTTAACCCATCTCCATCCAGGGGATCTCCAGTCTTGGCCCAAAAATGGCATGGTTTCTCTATAAGCATCAAGAAGAGATTCTTTGTCTATTATTTATTTAAAAAGTTTCAAAACTTCCTGTCATTATTTCAGTTTTCTCTTTAGCCTTAAAAAGAAAATATCTTGAGGAAAGTTCTCTGTATTGCATCCTTTAAAGAAACAGGTTTAAGTAGATTTTTTAATTCTCTAATGATGTTCTTCTTGTCTTTCAGCATTTTATTAGATCAAGGTAGATTTCCTTGTTCTTTGGAGAACAAGGAAAAAAATCCTGGTAGCCCATGAATGGAATGATACAAAAAAAGAAAATTATATAAATTATATCATGTGCAATCTGCTCTGTTATCATAAAACAGATTACTGATTTTCATATGTGACTAATAAATGCTCTTAAAGAGATCGACAGCTCACAAAATCAGTGTTGCTCCTTTTGTTTTTTCTAATCCTTACAAATACTGAGTTTATGGTACAATGCGTAGTGGTATTTTGGGAAAGGAATTTTAACATTCCCAAAAATCTTTTTATGTTGTTTTTGAGGCCACCTGCCATGCCAACCTATTAAGCAGATACCAGGACAAATGGAGACTGCAACAAAGTAAGTCCATTGTGACACATCTCCAGAAATTCCTACAAATAGATGCAGGTCATCCCAGATACATAAACAGTGTTCTGCTACCATTTTTCAAAAGTGAGATTCACTTCTGACACATTAAGAATTTGAACAAGGCAGTTTTCTACACTTTGAAGACTATAACCCTGCCAGTGTTTGCTGTCTTCCCATTCATCACACAAAAATATTGCTCCTTCGTTTAACAAGGGATTTCATATGCAAGCTATAGAGGGAAGATAGCATTATCATATTCAAAACACATGTTAGTATATAACAGCAACAGCTTTGGCCCCCACAAACATGCATTTTCTAATATTTTTTCAACTTTAAAAAAATATTAGGCCCCATCAGTAAACATCACTGTGAATTTATTTAAAAATTTGCACTCTTGACCAGCATTCACCCAATGTATTTGTTAGAAGAGGATAAAACAAGAGGCTGAGTGAGCCAGCTGGGTTTTTCTTTATTTAAAAATCTGCATAGTACGCAAAACAAAGTGCATTGCCTAGACCTCAGGATTGACTAAAGTCCCCCTCCTACTAATAACTCAGCTTTCCTCTGCTCCTAACTAGAGCCTTTTCCAAAATCTACATCATCCACTCCCCCAGTTGCAATAAACTTTATTCATGCCTATCTGCTTTTCCAATCCTTTTACTGCTTCCTAGGAATAATATGAAGCACAAGAAGTTGTTCAGTACTCCCCTCGTACTGGTGTCTCTATCACAGAATGGTTTGGGTTGGAAGGGACCTTAAAGACCACCCAGTTCCAATCTGGGTGACACCTTCCACTAAACCAGGTTGCTCAGAGCCCCATCCAATCTGGCCTTGAATGCAAAAAGGATGGGATACCCACCATTCCTCTGGGTAACCTGTGCCTCATCACTCTTAGAGTAAAGAGCTTTTCACTAAGATCTAACCTAAACCTACCTGCTTTCAGTTTGATGCCATTCTGCCTTGTTCTATCACTATGGGCCCTTGTAAAAAACCTTCTGCAGCTCTCCTGTAGCCCTGTTTTAAAGGGCTGGAAGACTGCTCTAATGGTCTCCTCAAAGCCTTCTCTTCACCTGGCTAAACAACCCCAGTTCTTTCAGCCAGTATTCATAGGTGCTCTAGCCCTCCTCTGGACTCTCTCCAGCACATTCACAGCCTTCCTATGGTGAGAATCCCAGAGCTGGATGCAACACTGCAGGTGGTGTGTGAGGAGAGCAGAGCAGAGGGGCAGAATCACCTCCCTTGACCCACTGGCCACACTTCTTTTGGTGCAGCCCAGAACACCTCCAGCTTTCTGGGCTGCAAGTGCACATTGCTGACTCATGCTGGGCTCCTCATCAACCAATAGCCCTGAGTCCTTCTCCTCAAAGCTGCTTTCAGTCCATCCTCCACCCACCCTCTACTTCTGCTTGGGGCCGCCATGATCCAGCTGCAGGATCTGGCACTTAGCCTTGTTGAATTTCAGGAGGTTTGCACACACTCATTTCTGTCCTGTCAAGGTCCCTCTGGATGGCATCCCTTCTCTCCAGCTTGTTGACTGCACCACACAGTTTGGTGCCAAAAACTTGCAGAAGATACACTCAATCCCACTGTCCACGTCCCCAGTAAAGATGTTAAACAGGCCCAGTCCCAATCCCAACCCCTCAAGAATGTCACACTCATCTCCACTTGGACACAGAGCCATTGACTGCAACTCTTTGAGGACGACCATCCAGCCAGTCCCTTATCTACCCAGCGGTCCATCTGTCAAATTCATGTCTGCCCAGTTCAGAGACAAGGAATTTGTGTGGGACAGAGTCAAATGCTTTTCATAAATTCAGGCAAATTACATCAGTCACGGTGTGACCCTGTATGACCTCATCCACCAACCTGAAATCCCACCGTAGAAGGCCACCAGACTTGCGAGGCAGGATTATCCCCTGGTGACACCGTGCTGCTGCCATCCTCACAGAGCCTAATGACATCCCAACGCCCCAGGCAGGCTCCACACGCCCCCTCCAGAGCGCCCAGTGCCGCCCGTCCCGCCTCGGCCCAGCCCCTTCTGCCCACCCTGACTCCCAGCACCGCGTCCCACGCTCCCTCGGCTCCACACGCCCTTAAGAGCCAACCCTAAACCCCTCAAGCCACGACTGCCCACGCTCAGCCCCAACCCCGCAGGCCGACGGGGCTCACACACACGGCCCTACAGGTGTCCTCCCGACGCCGCTGCCGGTCCGGTCCGGCCCGCGCTCACCGCTCACCTCCCGCCGCCGCTCCCTCCGTCCCCGCCGCTCCCCGCCCGGCGCTCGGCCCGGGCCCGGGGCTGTTGCCGGAAGTACCATGGGCCGCGCTGGCCACGCCTCCCCCACGCTGATTGGTCGCCGCCCGCCGCGCTTGTTGCTACCCGGCAGCGCGCGCCGCCATTGGCGCAGCGGGGCGGGGCCGTCTCCGCCCGGCCCGAGCCGGCCGCGTCACGTGACGGACGCCCGCGGGCCGCACGTGCCAATATTTTGGTCGGCGGGGGCGGGGCGGGAAACCCCCGGTGGACCCCCTAGGGATCACCACCCCCCACCCCCCCGCACCGTTGTGAGCAGTGTGACCCAGCCCGTGTGCCCCCCCTCTGTGCCCCGGGTGTGCCAGCGTGCCTGGAAAACCAAGTTTATGGAGGGCCTTGTTTCTTAAAACCTTAAACCATTAACAGATGATTGTATAAACATTTGAGATTTCACTTAAAATCAGTTATTTTCACTTAAAATCAGTTATGGAGAAAACCACTAAAAAAAAAGTCAAAGCATTAATAATAAAATAAAAATAGTATTTTCAAACATTGTAATTGGTTCGAAATTTTGTGCTGTAGAAAAAGGCTTTTTTAATTTAATTATTTTAATGCTTAGGATTGACAATGCTACAATTACTGCAACTTGTCCCTACCTGGAAGCAATCCTTAATGTTTTTGCTAGTCTTTCCCATAAGAAAATGGAGTTTATGAGCTTATAAAAGAATTTCAGTGTCATAACAGCACAGAATTCAGCAAAAATTCAGACTGGAAGGGCTTATTTTCTGTCTTTGGTCTTAAAAAGCTTACCTGAGTAGTTATATTTGGTCTGGGAGCCATTGTGTTCTCAATATATTACTTTTAATAATTAAGCTAGAGATAGGATTCCTTTCTTTTCTTGAAGACAGAAAAAAAAGAAGTTGGATACCCAAATATTTTTCAAGACCCCAATATCCTGGCACAAATACAGCCATGGCAAAGGTGCTGCGTTTGCATCGCCACGGCCCGTAGGCCACTCTGTGCCATTGCCTGATTGGAAACATTCCCAGCCCTGCACTGGAAAATGATGTGAGTGTGAGTCAATATAAAAAACTCTACACCACTACTCTGCCAGGAGTGTGTCAATCCTTTTCCAGCCCATGAAAAGGGGTTTTTTTGGTTTTTTTTTTGTTTTGGTTTTTGGGTTTTTTCTTGTTTGTTTGTTTTTTTTTTGTTGTTGTTTTTTTTTTTGTTTTTTTCTCTTTGGCACCTGGATCTACAAAATTCCTTCATAAAGTGCCACGAATCCTTTTGTCTCTAGGATCCTTCTGCATTTTCTGTCTTTGAGGTGTCCTGGGGTGTGTGGACATACAATGAGTGCTCGGTTAACTCGTTGCTCTGCTGGGGTTGTTCCTTTAGGGCAGGCTGGATTTTGCTAGCAGAGCTTCATGGGCGAAACATCTAATCCAAAAGTGATGCACTTCAGAAAATATGCTGCGGTTCTCTTGTGTTTACCTGAGGAGAAAGCAGCTTTAAAACTCTGAAAATAAGCAGGAGGTTACTTCTTGAAAAAGTGCAGCATTTTGGGAAAGCCTCCCACTGGAGCAGTTTGTGGAGGACTCTGTCCAGTGAGAGGAATTCCATGCTGGAGCAGGGGAGCAGCCTGGGAAGGAAGGAGCGGCACAGACAAAGCGTTATGAACAGAGCCCAACTGCAGTTTCCCATCTCCCTGTGACACTTGTGGAGGAGAGGAGGTGGCAGAAAAGTCAAGAACAAAGAGTGGAGTTGAGTCTGGGAAAAAAAGGGAGTTTGCAAAAAGGTGCTTTTATTTTTGTTTCTGTTTCTCACAGTGCTGTTTTTAAAATACCCAATTTTTAATTCACAGCAAATTAATCTTCCCCAAGTTGATTCTGGTTTACCTGTGATGGTAATTGGTAGATTATGGTTATTGGTGGATGGTAATTGGCTCTCTGTCGTTATCTGGACCCATGACATTTTTAATTTTTTTTTCCCTGTCCTGTTGAAGAGGGGGAGTGACAGAGCAAAGGGTTGGGCACCACACTTCCTAATATCATAGAACGGTTTGGGTTGGAAAGGATCTTTGAAGGTCCTCTACCTCCAGTCCCCCTGCCATGGGCAGGGACACCTTCCACTAGATGGAGCTTAAAGCTCCGTGCAGCCTGGCCTTGGACACTCCAGGGCTGCAGGATCCTCAGCTTCCCTGGGCAGCCTGTGGCAGTGGCTCACCAGGTACCTCATCTAAAGCTCCCAGCTATCTAATCCCTCTGCTCCTGTGGCAGTCAGTGGCTCACCAGATACCTCATCTAAAGCTCCCAGCTATCTAATCCCACTGCTCCTGTGGCAGTGGCTCCCAGGTTTCTAATCTACAGCTCCTCTCTCTCAGTTTCAAGCTTTTCCTATCACTACACACCCTTGTAAAAAGCCGCTCTGTGGGTTTTTTGTAGGCCTTCTTCATTTCCTGGAAGCTGTAGAAGATCTCCCTGGAGCCTGCTCTCCCCTGAGCAGCCCCAGCTCTCTCAACCAGTCTTTGTGGCAGAGGTGCTCCAGCCTCCTGAGCATCTTTGTGGCCCTTCCCTGTCCCCAGCGCTGGCTGCAGCACCCCAGGAGGGGCAGAGTCCCCTCCTCAGCCTGCAGGTCACACTGCTGCTCACACCTGCAGGTCACACCTGCTGCTTACACTGCTGCTGCTCACACTGTGCTGGTCACAGTGCTGCTCACACCTGGTGGTCTGAAGCCCAGCTGGAGAATGTTACCCTGGGAGAACACCCCACACTTCAGGGAGGATACCATAGGGAAGGAAGAAACAGAGGAAGTCATATGCTTCTAGCTTTTTTTTTTTTTTTTTTTTTTTTTTTTTTGTATAGGTCCTAGAAGGACAAGGACAAGGACAAGTGTGTCTTCCCAGCTTAGGCGGTCACACTCTTTGACTTGTGCTTCAAATTTAATAAAGTTATTAATAGCTGAGGTACATAAGTAATTGGGTTTTCCATGATAACTCTCTTTCCCGCATATTTTCTGCTGCTCATGCCCAGCTATTATAATATTTCACCTGCTGGCTTCAGCATATTTATATTAATTATACAATTAAGGGAGCTGGAAGAATGTAATTTTTAATTTATATTTCAGTAAAGGGCCACTTATTACAAGGCTTTATGTATATGTGGTTTCATTCCAAGTGTCTAAAACTCTTGTGATTATTCAACAAGCAGATGCAAAGTGGTTATTGCCCAGAGTTACTACTGAGCCGTCCTCTCTTGCTAGTGAAATTTTCTCACTCTGTACTTCGAAACCAAAGTCATTTTGCTATTTATAGTGTTTGTGAAGTAATTCTACTATTTAATGTTTATGATATCTTTCCATCTGCCTTTTTTTTTTGTAACAAAATATGATAAATTTTCAATTGAAGAAATATAGAGATATTTCCCATATTAACAATAGTTTCTACCTTGAGAGTCCATGCTCTGACCTATAAAAAATTCATCGAAGACTGAGAAATTTATTTTAAAATATTTTTTATGTGTAGTGCATGTCTATGTTAAAAGTATACAAAAAACAGCATGTTGCTCACTTTAGGGGGGTTTCAAGATGTAAAATAACTTAATAGAATGTGGAAGCTTTTAAGACTATTCTGATCAACATGGAGTAGCTTGAGCACTTCTTGAATAATTTAATATTGATTGACACTATTCCATTTCACATATTCCTTATAAAGTTCTATGGTAATTTTCTTATTCTGGTGTCACAGCATTCTATTATGTTTTATTTAATACTAAAGCAGTTTAAACCTTCCCAGTGAAAATTGAACAAACTGATCTGAAGTGTGGCTGTTAGTGCTTTTGATTGTTTAAGAGAGATTTTAAAGTGAAAATTTCATTAAACCCAGATGAATTTTGCAATTGGGATAGTTACCCTTACTGCTGATTACAGGTCCATGTAGATGAGACATTAGATCATTGCTACATTAACATGAAATTAGGAATAAAATGGTGAATTCCATCTTTCCCATTTTTTGCTATTAAATTATTGAAATTATTGTTTCTTTTTAATAATCCACAGCAAAGGTGAATTCTTTAAATGAGTTTACACTGAAGGAAAGCCAAGCTATTTTACTTTAAAATTACAATTGCTTGTAAGATCTGAGACACATTATTAAAAGCAAAATGAATGTTATTTGGTGTGGCTTAGGATAGCCTCATGGAGCATGTAAAGCATCTTGTCATTAAGATTCATATTTCTGTAGCTGTTTGGTCTCAAAAGATGCATTTAGGTATGTTTATATGTGCTTATGTTTATATATAATATGTTTATAGGAATCACTTCCAATTTTTTCCTAGAAATCACCTGAAAATGAGAGTTGTGGTAGATGCAAATGACCTTCTTTCCTTTGGGAGAGTGTTTTTCATTTTGCTGAGTAATCTCTGTACATATTTCAAAAAATAGAATAGTGCTGGCAAATAATACCGCAGCCCGATTCAGTTACTTAGCAACTTTTAATGCTAACAAAAAGAAACAGGAAAGTGATGCAGAGGCAATAAAATCATTAGAAAGCAGAAGGAAACTCATGACAATGATGAAGAAAAAACTCTTAAGTAAAACAAAAATGGAAAAGAACACATAATCCAAGCAGTTGGTCTTTTTCCAAGGAGTCAGTTGGTTATAGTTTCATTTTTCAGGAAAAAAAACCTACCAACCTGTAAAAACAAATTTCAAAACTTGGAGAAAAGCCTCATCATCTCAGATATTTCTTTATGTGTGTTTTTCAGTGTATTACACAGTTCTTCAGAAATTTCTTTTGTGGCTGGCATTGTTTTGTTTTAACACTTATCATGGATACTTCCAAAACAAGAGGTAATGCTACCACTCTTCCTTCATTAGGTTTATTACTCTCCTCAGTGTGAGAGGATAAATAATTTAGTGTGTTAGGGAAACTGTAGATGCATAACACAGCATCTCCCTCCCCAAAGGCTTGGCTGCTGAGGAGCAGGTCCAGCTCAGCAGTGGTGCAGCCCAGGACAGCCCCATTCCCCCTGGGAATGTTGGAGAGAGGCTGCTGACCGTGCTAGGGGAACCAGAC